TATGCTCATTAGTTATTATAAATAACGCATTTCTAATTAAATTTATCTTGCTTTATTAAAAGCACTATTAGTAAATAAGGAAAAGTAAACTATACAAAACATGTCCTTTTCATAAACGCTTAGAATTTTATGATTATTAAAAGCAAATAATTTTCAGTGCATTAGATACTGAATCAGAAAAAGTAGTGCAAACTGCTTTAGAACAAGCTGCCAAAGGAAGAACAGTACTTGTTATAGCACATCGCTTATCCACTATTCAAAATGCAGATATAATAGTAGTTTTACACAAAGGTCGAATTGTAGAGGTAATATATAATTTACTTGTTTTTAAATTATGGTTTTTGCATTAATTGCTACTTACACATATTTTCAGATGGGAACTCATGAAGAATTGAAGAATTTGAAAGGATACTACTGGGCATTGAACTTCCAACAGCATGAAGACCCTCCTGCTGGTTGATAATATTTCTTTATGGGTACTGTACCTGTTAATTAAATAATTGAATAAAATTGACGAAGTATCTTATTAGACCTAACAGAATTATGTTTGCCATGCATCACAAAATTATAATACCTATATTGTATACGCATATATAATAATAAAACTTTAAAAATAATTTAGCTTACAATAACTTCCACTAAATCATGTTTATAAACTTAGATAAGGTGAAAATAAAAGTAACAGATACACAATGTACTAAATACCATTAGGCATTATACAAATTAAGAATGTTTAAAAACTATAAACAAATAAGGAAACAACTTTCTAAGATTACATTTACTTTCCTTAATATTGTTACTTACTAATTCGTTGTGATAATGACACAATGGAAAAAGGCACTTATACCTCCAGGTGCTGCTGCATCCTGAAGTGAAAGAGAACTCATACAATTAATTTAGATATACCTAATTAGTTAACCCAGCAAAAAGTGTGCATAAAAAAAAATTACCAAAAAAAGGTTACAGTAATGCCCTTTTTCCTATTTATAGCATGTATTCTCACCTTAATCGTCTGCAAAATCATCCAAGGTAAAGAGCCATTTCACATTTTACCAACAAATGAAGTCCAGCAAGAAGAATATCTTAGTAAGCGATTTGTTTTTCTCAATCAGTCAATCTGCAAGAATCCGACAGGAAAAATGAAATAACTACACTACTGAATAAGTAAAACATGAAATAAAATTACTTATTTATATAAAATTGAATTATTATACTTAATTATTTTTGGTTAGTTGATAACATAGATAACATGTATGATGTTTTCATTTTCAGATTTGTATACATTCTGTTATCTACGAGCATACTACCACAGATAAGAAAAATCACACATGAATTACACTTTAAAAAATAATTAGTTTAACTTCTATTTCTATATAAAATTATGCAAAATATCGGCAGACACGTTATGTTTATTTGTAAAAAATAAATTATTCTTTATGATATTGGCTAAATTGTGCCACTACTTATCAGGAATGAATGGATACCCACTGATACTCTTTAATAACAAAGTTAGATGTGTTGGGGAATCTATGGTCTCAATTTTATTTAAGAAATTATTTTTTAAAAACAGTTCTAAATAAATTATTTTTGGAAAAAATTAACATGAATTTTGCAATAAAAGTTTTACAATGACAGTTTTGTAATGGAATATCCCTTACAAGACCTGTTGGAAGCCAATGACGAAACCGAATTTCTTCTTGAAGATTCAGTAAATCAAGAGGATGAAATGGATAAAATTTTTCGTCGCCAAAACCGAAACCCGTTAAGAAGACGTCGTCCTTTTAAATTGAAAAGGTAACGTTTCATCATTTTGTTTACATGTGTGATGCAAAAAGACATCAGAAAACGTCAAATTCTGTTTGACTGTTGTGTTTGTGTTTAACTTTGACATTTCCCATCGATTTTGTCTAACTTCGTTCGTATGACTTTGTTGAGGATAATAAACGTCAAATTTTCATTTTAAATAAGTGTGTCCTGTGCTATTTAATTAATTAATGTTTTAAAAATACCACTTAATAAAATGGATACTATAGAATCACAAGTTAATTTAAATAAACCATCATCTAAAGAGGATATACCGCTAATCTCTAAACCACATCGAGACCCTTTTCTGTTAAGGTACACCCACATAATAATTGTTTGTTTGATTGTAGTGTTTTTAATCGTATGTATATAAAATCTTTGGTTTGTATTTTCTAAAATTATTCATATAAAATGTACATTAAATTTGTGTAAAACTATATGACTAAAACTAAGTGATTTTTTTAATTTATGAGGAATGAGATTCAAATGAACATTTTTTCAAAAATGTGCATTTCTTTGAAATTATACAGCTGTTGGTGCTCCATATGGCGAAGATGCTGTGGTCCCCGAGAATTAAGATCGAGAACTATTTGCTTAGGCAAGCCCATGACTGGACAGTTTCCAGAAAACACAATTAGAAATCAGAAATATAATATTATCACATTTCTGCCACTTGTACTCTACCAGCAATTTAAATTTTTTCTCAATTTATATTTTCTTATAATGGCAATCAGTCAATTTGTGCCTGATATAAGAATAGGATATCTTTATACTTACTGGGGCCCACTGGTAAGCTACCAACTTTGGAATAGTTAGACATGCTTAAAAATTATATATACATTTACAGTGTTTTGTGCTCTTTGTAACCATCTGTAGAGAAGCTGTTGATGATTTAAGAAGGCATAAACGTGACCAGGAAGTAAACAACCAAAAATGTAAAAGACTTTCAAGAAAAGATGATAAACAAATTGAAATTGTTTCAGCTTCTAAATTAAAGGTACCAAGTACTTTTTTACTGTAGTTTATTTTTTAATGTGTAATACTTTTAATGATTAAGGTTGGAGATTTAATCATTGTGGACAAAGATGAAAGAGTGCCAGCTGATTTGGTTCTTTTAAGAACATCAGAAAGAAGTGGAACTGTTTTTGTAAGGACTGATCAATTGGACGGAGAGACAGATTGGAAATTACGATTGGCAATACCTGCCACTCAGAAACTTCCATCCGATTCACATCTGTTTGATATAAATGCTAGTATATATGCCGAAAAGCCTCAGAAAGATATCCATTCATTCATAGGGACATTTATAAGGGTAATTTTCGCAATTTTAGTGCCCACTAAGGAATATCTCCTAATTTTAATCTCATTTGATTGGTTTTTTCCATTATACATTTATAAATTACTTTACAAATATTAACACAATGTAAGATAATTGTAATTTTATTTATCTGTAGCATGATTCGGTGAATTCTGATGAGAGTTTAGACTTGGAAAATACTATTTGGAGTAATTGTGTTGTTGCTTCTGGTCAAGCTTTAGGCGTGGTCATATACACAGGTACTTAAAAAGTTAATGTTCTCTCATCGTTTCTGTAGGCGTAATTCTATTTCTTACTGTCACTTTTTAGGTCCAGAAACACGTTCAGTTATGAATAATTCTGCACCTCGTTCAAAGGTCGGTCTTTTAGACATGGAATTAAACACTATAACAAAATTACTGTTCGGAGCTGTCGTAGGTCTGGCTTTGATTATGATGATTTTAAAAGGGTTTAATGGCCCTTGGTACCGTTATATGTTTAGATTTGTGCTACTATTTTCATATATTATACCTATAAGGTACAATTTTTTATAATTATCAATAATCAATTTTAAATCATTAGAAACAACCAATGTTATATATACACCTTCAATGAAATAATTCAATTTTGTTTTATGCAGTTTACGAGTGAATTTAGATATGGGAAAATCGTTCTATTCATGGTCAATTAGTCATGACCCAAACATGAAAGGCACCCAAGTGAGATGTACAACTATACCAGAAGAATTAGGTCGTATTTCGTACCTTTTGTCTGACAAAACTGGTACTCTCACTCAGAATTCGATGGTTTTAAAGAGAGTACACATGGGTACAGTCAATTATGCACAAGATGGATTCTTAGAAGTATATCAGCATCACCTATGATCAACACTTCTATTTTTTTTACGAATTATTAATTTTAGGTTCAAAACGTATTACGACAAAGTTACAGTGGTGGCGAAAGTGTAACGTATATGGCTCATTCTGGAAAAATGAGAAAATCGGAAAATACAAGGATTAAAGATGCTGTCCAAGCCTTGGCTTTGTGTCACAATGTCACACCAGTTTATGAAAATACCGAAACTCTTGATAATAGTAAGTGGCCGGATACGTTTTTAGGGAAGGGTGCAGGAAATTTCTGATCCCTTCTGCTGTATTGAGGAGTACGGATATGTTTTTGAATGATACCACTTTAAAAAAATCAACCCCTCGAAAAATAAATCAACATTAATTGATAGTTTATAAAATTTTTCATAACTACAAAAAATTCCGTTTAAAGGATATCCTTCATATCTAACAATTGCTTTGTTTTTGGTTGAATTGTAGGTACATAAAAATTGAACGTGCTTTCTCATTATTTTAGATTCAATTGCTTCTGATACTGAAGCAGATCAGCACATGCAAGTTTCCACAGAACGTGTGGTAACTTATCAAGCCTCAAGTCCAGATGAGGTAGCTCTAGTGCAATGGACACAAGAAATGGGCTTATCACTCACAAGGCGTGAATTAAATAGCATGCAGCTCAGGACACCCAACGGACATTTACTCAACTACTCAATTCTTATCGTTTTTCCATTCACGAGTGAAACTAAACGAATGGGTATAATTGTTAAAGACCAAGAAACTGGCGAAATAGTTTTTTATCTAAAGGGAGCCGATGTTGTAATGTCTAATATAGTGCAGTACACAGATTGGCTAGAAGAAGAATGCGGCAACATGGCTAGAGACGGATTAAGAACTTTGGTAGTTGCAAGAAAGGTAAACTTTTTGTTTTTTTTTTATCCAAAAAAGAGTAAATTTAATTCTTTTTTGCGAATGAAGGTTTTATCCGAAGAGCAATTTAATGATTTCGAAACACGTTATTCCGCTGCGCGAATGTCTGTTTCTGATCGAGTTCAGAGGGTTGCACAAGTTATCGAATCGCTTGAGAGGGAAATGGAATTGTTATGTGTAACTGGAGTAGAAGACAAATTACAGGACAATGTACGACCGACACTAGAATTATTACGAAATGCTGGCATCAAAATATGGATGTTAACGGGTGACAAATTGGAAACAGCGACTTGTATTGCTAAAAGTTCCCGATTGGTTTCAAAAACTCAAGGTAGAATCAACTTGTTTTCTATAAAAATAAAATTCAAGAAGTTAAACAGTGCGATGTTTCAGGCTTGTATGTATTAAAAAAGGTTGTCACAAGAACTGATGCTCACCTGGAATTAAATACATTCAGGCGCCGTGCGGACTGTGCCCTCGTGGTTAGTGGAGACAGTTTAGAAGTATGTCTCAGTTACTATCAACAGGAATTTTTAGAATTGGCTACTGCGGCACCAGCAGTTGTGTGCTGTCGTTGTTCTCCAACACAAAAAGCTCAAATTGTGAGTAGTTTTCCCTTTTTAGTTTTTCGAACTGTAATTTTTTTAAATAACTTTTTCAGGTTCAATTGATCCAAAAACATACTGGGAAACGCACGGCTGCCGTCGGTGACGGAGGCAACGATGTGAGCATGATCCAACAGGCGGACGCTGGTATAGGTATAGAAGGTCGTGAGGGCAAACAGGCCAGTCTTGCTGGTGACTTCAGCATACCTCAGTTCTCGCACTTGGCTCGCCTGCTACTCGTGCACGGTCGCAGATCATACAAACGATCTGCTTCACTGTCCCAATTTGTCATACATAGGGGACTTATAATATCGATTATGCAAGCCGTTTTCAGCAGTGTTTTTTATCTCAGTTCCGTTGCCCTTTATCAAGGATTTCTTATGGTCGGATATGCAACAGTGTATACAATGTTTCCGGTATGCAAATAATGTACATAACAAAAGAAACATGAATTAAGCTTATGATTTTGAAGGTTTTCAGTTTAGTATTGGATCAGGATGTGAATGCAGAAATGGCTCTTACATATCCAGAACTTTACAAAGAATTAGCAAAAGGAAGAAGTTTGTCGTTCAAAACGTTCTTCATGTGGGTGCTGATTTCGATTTATCAAGGTAAATAGAAATTATAGCCTTAATTTTTAGCAAATAATTTACAATACACTCGACTACTAAATCTTCCAAGAAATGTATTTTTATTCAACTGATTACAAAGAGATAGTTTGCAGTCTTAAATTCACTTGGAGCAGAATAAATCTTTTAACTTTTAATACTTTACAGGTGGTGTAATAATGTATGGAGCACTGCTGCTATTCGAAGATGAATTTATCCACATTGTGGCGATTAGCTTCAGCGCTTTAATTCTTACCGAATTAATCATGGTTGCTTTGAACATTAGAACATGGCACTATCTGATGATCCTCGCCGAGCTTCTCTCTTTGGCACTTTACGTTATGTCGCTCATAATTTTGCACGATTACTTCGGTGAGTTTTCCAAAAATAATTCACTTAAGAACAAGTATTTTTATTATTTCCTCGGCTATATGAATAATTGTTCAAAAAAAGTAACTCAACAATTTATCTTTGATATTGGAGTTACTTTTAATAAAAGTTAAACTTTTTATTCACATTCTGATAACTTAAATGCCATTTCCAAAATATCATTGTTAGTATAATAAAAAGGTAATATTGGCGCCATAACTTAAAAATTTTTTCTCTTTCAGATTCTGAATTTATCAGAACTTTCGACTTTTTCTGGAAAGTATTGGCTATTACTTTGGTATCTTGTTTGCCACTTTATATACTGAAGTTTTTGCGTAAAAAGTTCTCTCCTCCAAGCTACACTAAATTATCGTAAAGCTATCAAGATTTAGGTACATATTTATTAGTAAGTTTTATTCGTCCACGTTGTTTTTCAACAACTGTTTATTTAAATTCACGAGTATCATAATGTTATGCGTTTCAGTGAAGAAGTGAAAGATAAGAACATTAAATATTCCATAAAGCAGAATTTTGCACACTTTTTTATTTGATGTTTTAGCAATATTACTAGTTCCTCCAAGGTGCATTTGCAGAGAAAAATATTAACCTATAAAATTATTAAATTTTGCACCTAGTTCTTTTTAATATGAATATTGTTTTAATTAATTGTATATGTATGTATCTTGTTTATTTATTTATATCTAAGCCAATAAAAATGTTTTATGTATGTTTAACGATATTAATTAAATAAAAAGATTTTCTAGTTCTTTACAGTTTGGCAGTTATATTTGATGAAAAATAAAATGTGGACGACTTTTGGTATTTGAGCAAAACTTCAATTTTTGTAATTAACGAATTATTGCACTTTCAAAAAGAGCAAACAAATTCCTGTTCCTGAAAAAGGGTACTTTCTTTAAAATGTTATCCTTTACACATATTTAGAGAAATTTATTTAAGCTTCGCTTAGTGGAAGAGTACAGTTTTAAATATTTTGTTTAAGCATCAAAGCTTAAGTAACACGCTGGAATGGAGAAATTCGATATAAATATGTGCTAACACTTTTCGTTTGTCGTTCCGTCAGGAACATGTGACGGATGCGCGCCTATTTTCGACTTTTTGTACAAATTCACAACTGCAATTAATTTAATTTAATTAATTATTTAATGGTATCATTTTACCGACGACAATATCGTAACGATGAGATGATGATGATTATGGCAAAATCGAACTAAACTTACACAACACTTTTCCTAACCAAAGGGTTTTTCAATAAATTAATAATTTTCTTAGGATTCGGCTATTACAAACCGTACACACTATACAATGATGAGGGAGTAGCCCAGAGATATTTTATACAAGTTTAAACTTCATGTTTACATTACATTTGCTTATTTTTCGCTTCAAACGAGAAAATTTTCACCATTCAACAGTTTTGAAACTGCGCCGTTTCAGTATTTAGAACAAATTGTCTTCACTACGCATAGGACCAAACACTGATTTAAAAAGATTGCTTTTTCTTTAAAAAATCTAATACGTATAAAGTTACTTTTGTATAGTTAATATATATTATAACTTTTATTGTAAAAGACCGTCCAATATGAAAACTAAAAATATATTCATTTCAAAATCAAAAGATCAGTTTATCCCAATGTATAATTTTTTTAACCTTGTCTGCCTCCACACATCATTAATTTTTTTTAATGTAAATAAGTCAACAATTTATAACAAAATAAAAACTAATATGTACTCCAATTGTGCATATTTTCAACTAATAAATGAAAGTATCAGTATGTGACCGGTTCATAACCATTTTCAGACCGAACTTGCCTTGAATTATTTTTAATCCCCAAATAAGTAATAAATATGTGAAATATCCATTCGATTCGGCTCGAAACCACTAAACAATTTCATTCACTAGCAAGAAGTGCTGTCACCGTAATAACGGTATTACGCAATAATAATATTAACACTAACCTGTGAGCGACGTACGAATGCATTCATCATTTCAACCGAGACTTCTCTGATACTTTTGTGCCTGTGCGATACTTCCCGGGCTACTCCGTCGAATTCGTCTAATGATTTCGTATGTAAATAGTAAGGGGAATAGAAAGGAGGGGCCGACGGTCGAAAAGTGGGAGATCCTGAGAAGTCCCGTCCACGTTAATCGCTCACGTGACACGCCTACACAGTGAACACAATAAGTAGTAGCGTCAAGTGGTTAAACGTCCTTTTGGTTTTTGCTTGTTTGTTGTTTTTTGTATTTGTTTCTCTAAACATAAATTGTTGCTATTGCTGCTCATCTAATATGTGTTTGTTGTTGTTGTTGTAATTGTTACGTTGGTGTATGTTAACTAAGTGCGTCCAGGCGCAGCGGCATATCACGTCTTCCAATTGTGACGTTGTCCTGCTTGTGGCGGTATCATGTCCAGCAGGTACTGTCGCTGCAGATCAGCCGCTCTCTGAAACTCGGCCAGGTTCGTACCTCCGGCCCCTTTGCCTGAAGACGCCGCTTGTGCCATGGCCAACTGGTACGGATAGAGGAACGGCGAAAATTGTAACATGTGCGGTGGAACACCGGCCTGGAAAGCTAAAATAAAAAGAAAAATTGTTTATAACTTATTATTTGATACAGAACCCTAAAAAGGGAAACCTACTTCGCAGAAGCTGCTGATGCAATGCCTGAACGGCAGCGGCATTTTGAGCAATTTTGTCATGCGAAGAAGCGGCTGCAGTTGAAACTGCGCCTGTGTGCGACGACCGACTGGGCGGTGGTGGGGGAGGAGTTGGTTGGGTGGCCGGTGGAGCCGGCGGCGTTGCCGCGTGTCGAGGAGTTGGTTGGGGCGTTACTGCCTTTGGAGTACTTTCTGGCGTGACTGGTGACGGTGCCGGACTACTTGAACTGAATACACCATTCTAAAATTTAAAAAAAAGTTATTAATCGAAATTTTCTATTGTCATGACTTTTTTACTTGAGCCAATCGCTGTTCGATTTCCTGTTCCTGTTGTAGAGCTTTAACAAAGGCCGTTTTTAGCCGATTGGTATGTTCTGCCTTTAGCGCTTTCTTCACGTTGGTCGTAACACACTGTTCACATACCACATGGGTTTCTTTACCTGCATATAAATATTAATTGTATAATGAACAAACATAATAGACAACGTTATTCAACACATTAACAACAGTGAAATAAATAAATACGAAACATCATACTTCTGCCTTTTCCTTTGGTTTCCCATTTCCATACGGGTGTAAAGTCAGTGTTACACTGATAACACTGGAAGGGCACAGGGGGCGGGGGAGTTTTTTGGTCTTTCGTCAGGAAATCAACTACATACTCAAGACCAACCAAGTAAATGAATTCAGTGTTGCTTGGGTTGGGTATGAAGTGCATCTCGGGCGGGGGCGGCTTCGGAGGTGGGATCTAACATAATCCATCTTTATTTTACAGCAATACACAACAATATACTTTGTATAACTACACTGCAAGTAAAAATTAAGTATTACCTGAAGCAATGTCTTCTCTAACTGTTTTCGCAGAGCTAATTTCGCTGCTGCTTGTCTTTGAGCGGGAGTTTGCGTATCTTCTGGTCGTGAACGTTCCTAAAATAACAAATTACTTTAAAATCTAAAACAAAGTTATTATTAATTAAAAAACTACAATTTGTTTTGAGGCGAAAGTCTATAGAAGAAACCTAATTTTACCTGTTCACTTGGGGGCAGAGGGTTTGATTGGGGAGAAGCTGACGATGAGTTGCTTCCCCCAACCAAATTTTTACCCTCTGCTCCATTGCATCCACTCTAAAGAAGTGCAGCAAGAAAAAATATTTTATATTAAAAAAAATAGAACAATGTTAAAATAATAAAAACAAAAAAGAACACCGAACCTTGGGTATTTGAGGAGGTGCCGGAGTTATAGTGACTGAAGGTGAAAGATCTTTGATGCCAGCGGGAAAAACCGCGGGTGGCCGACAAACTGACGAAGCCCTCTGAGGAGGCTGCGGTACCGAAAGATTCGTAGCTCTACTGCTAAGAGGAGAACCGCCACCGGAAAGGGGAGGACCATGAACGCTCCCTCTCGAACCTGGTGGAGGTTGCTTTAAGGGAAAAAAATACTTATAAGAATGAATTAATACATATAATAATAACAATAAAAGCTTACCCCTCGTAATAACGATGGGACATTCCCGGGGGCGGGTTTGTGCGAATTGACATGTCTTGAGTGTGCGCTAGGCGGTTGGGGGGGTTGTTTTGTAGTCGGCGGTACCTTAATGGTGGTTGGCGTGATGCTAAGGCCGCTCGGCAGTCCGGAAGCGGGTAGTGCGGACGGTGGTATCGATGGAGGCAAAACCGCCACGTTCTCCTTCAATTGCTGCGATTGCTTCAACTTCTTCAACAGGACTAATTTCATTTCTTCAGCTCGTAGATCCTCACGGAGTTTCCTCAAAGTCCTCTCCCTTTTTTTATTTAATCATTAATAGTTTTACAAAATATTTATTACACTTTTCTATTCAAATTAATAGCAAACGAACAGTATAAACGGTTCCAACCAGTATTTAACTGTACAGTAAATACTCGAAATAGTATATACTATGCTTTTACGAACGATATCTGTATCGTATCTTATACTTTATATAATAATAAATAACAAGTACCTACACAAAAAAAACTCCATGTAAGCAAATCATACAACTTTAATTTCACATATAATTGTGTAAAGGAGAGTGAGAAAGAAAAAGGGAAAATGAAAAAAAAAATAACTACATTTCTTATCGCAAACGACAATAAGTATGAGTATGTAAACATCTTGGAAAGTAAACGCGATAAAGATTATCTTTTTTAATAATAACAATCGTAATAATAGACATCGTTTAGTAACGTTGATTTATCACTAAGTACGTCTTTTTTTGTTCGAGATTATTTTATCAAACAGCATTCTGTAAAACTTCATATTGGTCACTATACAATTTTAACTTTACATTAAGTACGCAAATGAATACTTCGTGATTCATAATAACAAATGAAAACCATTTGTATCGTCTCATTCAAAAATTCATATGATGTAAAATTACCACCCGAAAATGGAAATAAAAAGAAAAATTTATTTTTTAAATATACCCTGCGTCAAACTAAAAATAGCAGTAAATAGAAATTTATGCATGTACTTATCCATACTTGTATTCGGTTTTCATTACAACTGTAAACGAGAAGTTATTATTCCATGTTCGCAAGTAATATGAATTGCAAATTTTGGTTTAAATATTCAAACATGAAATAATAACAAAAACGTTAAAAGTAGGTATGTAACGTGTAAAATAGCAATTAACAGAATTAAAATCAAAGTAGTTAATACAAACCAAAATAATAAAAAAAAAACAAATCATAACAATATACTACGGAAAAATAAAATTGAAAATATTAAATTATTTTTTCTTTTTCCGTTTTTCATTGTAAAAATCGCCTTTTATTGACTAGGCAATATTAATAGATGTAAAGCATGCCTAAATTTTATTTTAGTACCAAATCTAGAGAAATCTGTACTTTTCTTTTTTAGTACCAAATCTAGAATGTACCTAGATTTCGAATAAAAAACATAATTCGGGGAATTCGCTAGTGGAGAAAAAGACTAACAAAATACATACACACATATTTTTACTGACAAATTGTAGATATGAGAAAAGTGATTTTGAATTATGGTAAGTGTAATCACATAACTGATTTCTATTTTTTAATCTGCAATACGAGTTTGTAAATAAAATGCTTACAGGTCAGCATTAAAGAAATTTCTCACCTCTGCCTTAATTCCGCGGGCGTGTACTCCTTGATAGGTGACAGGGGTGGCATTTCACCTTCGCTTGAATCACTGCTGTAATCAGCCAAACCGTTCGTGTGTGGTCTATCCAAACTGCCGTTGATTAAGACATCGGGGCTTTCCACATAGCTACGAGGCTCCGTACGCGGTCGCAAAACGCGTCTCGAACTACTCACACTATTGCTATTAGACTGTTGTTGCTGTTGGTTATTACGACCACTATTATTAGCTATGGTGTTACCATGATTCGTATATGATGATGATCGACTGCTGAAAAGAAACAGAAAAGACTAATTGTAAAGTAATTAAAACTGGATTATTTCGAAGTTAATAGAAAGTTACCAATCGATAACGTACCGTTATTGCCATTAACAAGAAAAAGTTCCAACAACGTAACATATATAGAATATTATATGTAGAATAATATTCATGTTAACAGAAAGCAATTATTATATTTACTTTGTTTCATAAGAAGCACAAAAATCCAGGATTATATAGGTAATACAAAAAAGTAAAAATCCTAAAATACTTACATGTTAAGGGACTGAAACTGGAGGAATTTGGCGATTTTGTAAAATAAATAATCAATGACTATACATGCAATTACCTATTTCATTTAACTTAAACAGTTATGTTGTGTTCGGGTTGGGTTAGGCTATTTTAGCTTCTTTTAAAAATCTGATCGATTACCTATACTACATGGAAACGATAAGTTTTCTGTTTATTTCACGGTGTATTTTACTCATCTACATTACAAAGTTGCAATAGGGATACAAAAGATGAGGTAAAAATGTACAGGGCAGAGAAAGAAATAAAATTATTGTGTGAAAAAACAAGTCTAATTGTAAATATAATATTAAGTTTAAATTTTTGCACTTTCTAGTTTTAAGAGAATTTTTGTTGAAAAGTATATTCCTGCAAAAACCTATGAGGCACACTAAGAAATAATAATAATTACTTTTACTATTATTAATAACTTTGATTAGTCTGCACACTATTGGATTGGTATTTAGCCAAGGTTATGCTTTATGTCCGAATAACCTTTCAACCTTTGGGGATAAACGGGAGGATCGTCCATTTGCAGACCCCCTCTCACTTTATGAACCCTACGCACATGTATGTATTTATTACATACTTAAATAATGATTATGGAAGACTCTAATGGGCTTCTTGAAGCATAACAAAAGAGCCACAATGCATTACAAGACGAAAGACTTGTAAGACAAACGGAAATGCGTAAGTACGTTTGGTACCTATATAGGTAATAAGGAACTCGTACCGTATGAATTTTAATACGAGGAAGTCATCAACAAAACAAATTGTTGTTGTAAAATGTTATAAAAAAAACAACAGTTTTATCCTTTTTGCATGGGAAAACAGTTACCTATTTTCAAAATTCTACTTATTCCTGTTAATTCAATTTAGTCTGCTATTGCCAAAAATAATTTAAAGGACGTTAATTAATTTAAAATAACGCTTCATTATATTTACTCATATATTTGCTTGTTTGCAGTATGTAATGCCATTTTTTTCTAATAAACTTAAAACAATGACGAAAGCAACACTACTAAGTTTGTAACACAAGTAATAAATTTCCTTAGTAAGTATGGATTATCAAATTAACACATAGAATGCAATATAAACCTTGAGCCTATTTATTTGTTTACTTTTACCTTAACACACAAACCGTTAAGGCGTTTTATCAATAAAACTGAAACAAGCCTGTACAGTTAACATTTTCAAATTGTTTCGTTTTAAAAAAATTTTATTCGGCCATCGCTTTTAATTTATTTTTGAGAAACCTAAAAATTACATATCTATCACATTAGCCTTATACTTTTTGAAATAAGGCAAATTGTAGTGTTAATATTTTGCAAAAAAAATACCTAGTAGGTAATACGCTAATAGCCAGTAGGTATACTGATAGAACCGGGAAATCGAAAATGTTAATGAAACACCAATTGTAGTTTTTTAGTAGTATAAAAAATAAAACAATACTCTGCTTTTTTTCTCTAATTGTGAGTTGGATGACTGATTAAAGAAGTTCTATAACTAAATCTCTTCGGAAAATATAAACGAATTCCAACATACATAATGTAGTTGCAATACTAAAAATTACAATTGATATTTTGTCGTAAATTCGAATTTACGAAACAGATAAATATTGAATATTTAAATGATACTATCTTGCGATATACCCGCTTTAAAAAAAGGTTATCAGACATCAGACATGGCTTTAGTATTTCTCCATAACTTCGTGTTAGACCTTAATAGACCACGGCTTTGAAATAGGGCAATTATTATTATGTATGTATTTATTCAACCTTTTATTATCATTTTAGTTTTAATTTTGATAATTTAAGAAATATTTTAAAAATAGTTTTGCCGCTTCGTTTTTTTACAGAACTTTAAAAAGTTGACAAAATTGATTATAACTAAGTACATATATGTATATTTTTAAACATCAATTCAAGTTAGGACTCAAGTTTGCTGTTCAAGAAAGTTAGATGCCTATCTAAGTCAAATGTGAGCCTCTTTTTAACACCCTTCTTCTATTGTGCAAACATTTAACCAGTAAAGGGTAAGACAACGAAGTACAGTCTATTAAAATAGGAACAACATTTGATAAAAACACTAAATAATGCATAAAATATCCGATTCGCAGTGTTACTTATGTTAATACTGTATGACAGTAATTCATTAATTTTATTTGCACTTATAACGGACATTAATATATAGGATACTCTGCTGAGTAAATAAACTAAAAACGTCTAACTGTTAAAACTAAATTTAAAAAAAAAATCCAAAATTAGTGATGGGCGAAACATGTTTCAGTCCTTTTAAGTTACTTAGTTGTAGTAATTAAGGAGTCTCTTTTAGTTTTTCATATAAATAAAAATAAAATACAGAGATTCAAATTTCTTATATAGCAATCTTATGTAATACTTAAGTGATTATTTAATTTTTATCGCTACATATCTATATTTTATGAATTTGGCAATTCACCAACACCTGTCTTATTAAAATAATACTATTATTTATGGATAAATGAAGAAAAATCAAACAATTTCTTTAGTATTTTTTGCAGTTATTCTCATTTTTTTTCAGAACGCAGGCATATATCTAAAATAAATTTCCCAAAAACATATTTGCTGTAAACAATATCCTAATTGCAACCTTGACGTACGAGGTCAACCACCATCATGTAATTAGCAAGAAAATTATACAGACACCGGCAAAATAATTGAATATTGATTGAATGGATGCTAAATCAAAGAACAAAATCAAAAATAGTACAAACATTTATATACCTAGGTAGGTACCTACCTGGTTTCATTTTAGAAGTTCATTAAATGTTAAAATGTACTAAAATGATTTTTGTGACGTTATCTGTTCAATAAATAGGAGCAATGTTCACGATATAAAAATAGTTTCTAATTCGAGAACAATATATTTACGTAATGTGTATATTTATGCAAATATAGCATCAATTGTATTTCTTATAATAAATTCCAACAATTAAAGATTATCTTTTTTAAAAGCACGTTAACTGAATTCACATTTAAACAAAGGCGTAAAAACAAGATAATTTTGATAAAACAAAAAAATGAAGGAGATAGCTTACATTACATTTATGAATTATCCGTATTCTGACTGGAGTCTAATTTAAGTTGGTTGTATTAATTATAATTTGCGTTATTATAGGTAGAAATAAAAATTAAAAAAATATATTTACGACATTATCAATTATTATTAATTGCTTAATTATGTTAAGAAAATAAATTTAATCAACAATTTAGATTGAACACAACTTTAATTAAAATTGTTAGGTAATAATAAGAGTCTTAATAATTTCTTTAGAAATTTACCTTATTTAATATTTAAAAAACACAACTACTTAAAATGTGAAAGGAGTTATTCAACTTTTGAAGGAATAATTACCTAATAAGTCATACTTACATAAAACAAAAAAAAATTCGATACCTACGATATGGGTTCATTTTAGTTTGCATATTTAATAAGTAGTAACTTTAATTAGGCTCTAGGTACTTCTTATTAATATTTGCAAGGCTTACCAGTTTTAATATTCATTAAGACATGCTAACAATTTACTAATTGTCTAAACTGCAGCTGCTTTTTATATAGGTACACAGGTAACTAAAAAACAGGCATCTACATTTTTACGTTTACAGAACCGTAATAATTAGGTAAGGATATTTAATTTACTTATTTTAAAAGTTAATGAGTGGCTTGGCTTTTAAATAACGGTTACTGAATATACCTCCCTATCTTTAAATAGGTAAATGGGTACCTATTCAAGACCCATAAACGCGTAAAAACTACCTATACATGTGTTGTTAACAAGTTTAAAACATTAGCAACACATGATGTCTTTATTCAAGATTAATATTATAGATAGAGGATAGGTATTTCCCCTAATTTCATTAACTTAATGTTTATATATACTGCTTTATCAATTATTTAACATTTTCTTTTTAACAATTCGTTAATAATTGTAAACGTTACAATTTCAAATTTAAACATAATTTTGTAAAGTGGTTCCAACTAGTATTAATATCGATGATGTTTTTATAGAGCTTATCAGTTTATCCATTAGATACTTCACCATACATTCAATTCTTTTTAAGAAAACTGAAAATAAACACCTACCTTATACTTAAATCTACGACAGCATCATCAACATCCATTTTCTCCATAACCAGAGTTGCTAATTAAATCTTGATTAAAAACCGTTACCTATCAAACAAATGTAGGTATGTATCACTTAAAACTGAAGTCACTTTAACAACTAATAACAAAATTAGAACAAAATCATCCAAACGAAGAACTGTCAAAATTACTTAATTTTGGTTCTTGCATTGGTAAAAATAATTAACGTGTCCGTACAAGATAAAATTTAGTTAAGTCACACGTTTCACTACCAAACCTCGTGCACTACAACGGGACGTGTGTCGTTCGCTGACGATAATCTCGTGTGATTGAGAGCAGTAATTGTAATTTCGGTTAACACTAAGAACCAAGCCAAGAACCAATTTTATTAATTGTCATCGGTCTGTTTTGACATAATAGCAACAATCCTTGTTAAAAGACGAGTTCAACGACACCAAACACGATATAATTTCGAGAGTTTAAGTTACCTACCTACGGTCAATTAGTACACCAAAAATTGTAATCTAAACCTCTCGTTGACAAATCGATTAACTTCTTGTACATACACACACATTTTTGCACTCAATATGCACAAACTAGTATCACTCTGTACGCTGGGTTATAAGTTCTCACGAACATAATTATCGTCTGCATGTAATTCAATCCTAGTCAGATAAATGTTTTAACAAATAATGTGAAAAATTAAAAAAAATTGACCGGGAGGTAACACTTCCTACCGAAATTAACAGACGACTGATTCCGATTCAATTCAATATGGCGTGGCCTTGTGTTGTGTCTACATCACAGCGCTGTTAATTTGGATATGTTTACTGTTTTCCTACTCTTATTATCCCGCTTTGAAATCGGATAACCTTCTTCGTATATAACGCCATACTGTCTTAATTCATATGATGTATGAAACAATCAAAGACTTACTTCTAAGATTTATCATTGTCTTTACAAGCGAAAAAAACAAGGAAACGTATGAAATAGATGAAAAATGTAGAAACTAGAAGAAGCAATGAACTTACCCATATTTTTGTTTGGAATTAGTTTTTGGTTACTATACATTACTAAATTTTAAAGAATTATTAGTTTTTTGAGTAATGTGTAACGATTCCTGCTATTTTAAAAATTAATGTAAGTGCCGATATTGTAGCATTAATTGGTCTAACTATTTAATTATTTATGTAAAGAAAATTTCTAAATTAAAATAAAATGTTTAATGATTTATGGTACTGTTAATAGTTATATAGCTTGATTGTTTATTATAAAATTATAACCAGATCATGGACTAGATCCGTACATTTCATAATTAAATTAACCAAGGAATGTATTTCTTTTAAAATGTAAAACAAAAGAATAAACGTGTAATCCGCAAGCAAGTAATGTAAATAACTCGTTGTTTAGAGTTCTAAAATTGCCAATGAAATAAAATATTCATCTTATGTAAGCTTTCAATTTCATTAAATAAAAAGGATTGCTTTTTTTTTAAAACAAGTAGCTGTTATATAGTCACTATCTTTTACGTTTATGACGTCATCTTCTCTTAATGTTATCTTTGACGTAACATGGACATAACCTAACACGTTACCCTTTGTATATCTATTATCTATGGACATAACCTAACACCAAGTCCAATTATTAACTGTAAGATAACTTTGGAACCTTTTAGGTTTGTGAAAACCGTGAGTTTTTGAGTATTCTAGCAAACAAACAAATTCGAAACATAGTGCGAAATAACTTACACGTTGAGAATTTAGTACCGTACACATTTTATTTTAAAATATGGACGTAAACGACGAAAAGCCTCGTATTATTCTAGAAGAATACAAAGTAACTCAGGTGAGTTAAGAGACAAATATGTTTTTGGAGTTCCATGCAATCTCGTTTTTTTAGAATCTGCCTTCTGAAACAACAGTTCTTGACGAAACATTTGATATTAGAAAGTTCAAAAAGAAGTTCAGAATTGTTATAGTTAGATATGAAAAGTATGAAATGGAGTTTGATTTCATTGGGGTGCATCCATTTTTAGCAAACACTTTTCGCAGATTAATGTTGAGTGAAGTCCCTAGTATGGCAGTAGAAAAAGTTTTCATTTATAATAACACATCTATAATACAAGATGAAATTTTAAGTCATAGACTAGGCCTTGTTCCATTGAAAGCCAATCCTCGACTTTTTGAATATAGATCTGAAGGTTGTCAGTAGATCTACGTTGTTACTCTTAAATTGTGATGTTAAAAAATATTATTTATTTTAGAAGCCAAAGAAGGTAGTGAACAGGATACATTAGAATTTGAATTAAAAGTAAAATGTACTTGGAATAAAGAAGGAAATAAAGAATCTGCAAGAGCAGATGATATTTACAAAAATAATAACGGTAATTTTGGGTAAGCTTAGCATTTATAGTAGAGCTAATTTTTTGTTCTTAGTATATTCGAAGCATTTTACATGGTTACCAATTAAAAATCAAGCAGAGATGTTTAAAGCTGAAGAAGTTGGTCCTATTCATGATGACATTCTATTAGCAAAAATGCGTCCTGGGCATGAGCTAGATTTGAAATTACTTGCAGTAAAAGGAATTGGAAAAGATCATGCTAAATTTTCACCTGTAGGTATGTAGAATAAAAATTTTGGAGGTGCTAGATTTTATACTATATACTATATTTTCATATTCAGCAACTGCTTTTTATCGTCTTTTGCCTGATATAAAAATTATAAGGGAAGTAGAAGGAGAAGCTGCTGAAAGACTACAAAAATGCTTTTCTCCTGGTGTTATTTCCCTAAGACACAGCAAAGACGGACGTAAAGTAGCAGTAGTCAATAATTCCCGATATGATACTAGCAGTAGAAATGTTTATAGATATGAAGACCTTAAAGATGCTGTTATAATGAGTAAAATTCAAGACCATATTATTTGTGCGTATATTCAATTTTTATATGCGGTAAAATATAGTATTTTTGTTTTTAGTTACAATTGAATCAGTTGGGGCAATGACAGCGGACGTAATTTTTACTGAAGCAGTTAAAATATTAAAAAATAAATGCTTAAGCCTTTTAGATGAGTTAAGTCAATCATGAAGTATGTTTAATAACAGCTATTATTTTGTTAACTGTACTGGTAATATACATTAATTACATTTTATTACTTTTTTATTTATTTTAAAAAGCTGGTATTTACAAAAAAAATATTTTCATAAAAGTTTCTACAACAATACAACGGAATGAACAACACACGTTATATACTGATTTTAAATATAAAACAAAAAGAAAGCAACATCTCTTTAAGAAAGGAGAACCAAGCTAAAATTTGAGACTTTAATATTTTCTTAATTTTAAGTACAGTATCCTTTCACCTTAATCACTTTTTACATATATAACAAAAATACTCCATTTTTCTGTTATCAGTCCACCATTTAAATATATATTAATAAAAAGTTAAAAGTATAACTTGGGTTTTAAAGGGTAACAAACGAATCAAAACGAGGCTTTAAAAATTTGGTATTAAATTAAACAATCAGGCAAATTATTTCACCATTGGTGAAAAGCAATTTCCTGAAACTATGCGTAGTAACTTGGAGGCACTGTAAGATCACTTAAAACTAAGAGCTCATCTTCTGTAAATTTTAATTTATGTACTTCCCAGTTATCATGATGGGTACGTTTAAAATCTCCCAAAGTACGTCGAATTGTAGACTAAAAGAATTATACTATTATAGACCGTTTCAACCAGATATACGTCAAATTTTCTTTTCAAAAAAATGCTTTTCTTATGAGATTTTTGGTATATATATGCAAATTTTTGAGAAACGCTATAATAATTGTAAAACCTAATTAATTACTTACCGGTATCGGCTCAGAATCATTCAAGTGAAGTCCCAGATGCTGGAAAACATCTGGTAAATAGTCAGGTACGTCATAAGGGTGAGAGTCGATGAAGGCACAAAGTCCTAAAACAATGGCATGTCTTGTACGAACATCCGCAAATTTTCGCTTCGTTCCTTGTGATTTCATTGACGCTTTAGATTTTCTTTTGAAATCAGCCTGCAGATAATTTAGTTAAGAATTATTTATTTAAAAAATTATATTATTTGACTTACAAGTAGTTCTAAAGGTTCTGGAATAAAATGATAGTGAAGGAGACCACTTAAAAGTTTACCTGCCAATATTCTAACTTCAGGTTGGTTATCTTCAAGAAGTTTTAAGGTAATATCTACGACCTAAAATATTTTAATTGGTAAAACAATGTTTAGAAAAATAAAGTAAGATAATACCTCTGTAACCCATTCTTTTTTGGAAATAATTGTAGGCATATTGTGGAAAATTAAAACTGGAATGAATTCGGTAACAACGGCTCTAGCAGACCATAGGGGACAATTTGAAACTTCTTTAATTGCTTTCAAAGCAGCCGGGACATATTCATTAAGGATTAGAGAATGTCCCATCACAGCTAACAAATTTGAGCAGATAGATTTAAGTTCGTCATCTTTGTCGTTTCCTTGAAGAACACAAGCCAGGGGCAACAGCTGATAATGTTCAGGGACTGCTGAACAATTTGTTTTCACTATACTTCCTGTCACATATTTCGATACTGAAAAAAAAAACACGTTAAGAAGTTTTGCTTCATTTCCGCATCGAAATTCACACATTTAAAACAGAGAAAAACAAAATATCCACGTAATTAAAGGGAAATTTTTTATAAAAGATGTAATGTAACAAATAATAATTTGTGTGTACATAAGCTTTAGATTAAGTTTTTTTTACCTGTCTTAAATAGCCTTATTAATTCTTCCCTGTGTTCATCATTTAAGGACTCCAAAGGCAAACTGGTGTTGTTGACAAAGCCATTACTTCTGTCCTTTTCGTGTGTACTAACTTCCTTTAAAATACATCTGTAAAGTTCATGTAACCTGGGCATAACATGTTCGAAAAAATCGCCAACTCTTGGACAGTTAGTGACATTTCCTTCAGGAAAAACCACGTCTTTACCGAAGACGCTCGTCAAGCAATAACTTATTTTCTCCCTCACATTTTGAAAAGGATGCGCTAAGTAACCCTTGAAATATTCCAACATTCTGTGTATAAGCTCGGCATTCCTCCAGGACTGCTGATGAAGGGCATTCTGTAGAAGATAAATTCTAGCACAGCCAATGAATGACGTTTGTTCAGCCAAAGGATTGTCCATAAGGAATTCCAGCAACCAATGGTAACGATTAGGGTCTCGAGACTCCAGAGCCACAGCTATACTTAATCCCCAGTCTCCAATGGTTTCTACTGAAAAATTACAGAATGCAATGCGAATGAGTGGAATTAATTCTGTCCATAATTTGACGGTGCTGTCATAACTCCAATGTTTACAACCCTTTATAAGTCCACTTATTAATTCAGCGGCGCATCTTTGACTTTGCTCTTGTTTGTCATCGACAAGTTCTTGAAGATGAGAGATGTATACATCCAGAAGTTTATCTTCAAACATTTTAAAAATGTTCTGGAAACAATAAACAGTCAAATTTTTTATACAACCCAATACATACTATTAAGTTTTAATAAGTTTTGTTACCTTAAAAATTAATAAACGAAACACATTAAATTGATCTTTGCCTTTCTTTTCTTCCATTGAAAAATATCTAATTAGCATTTTAACGTTACTGGAATCACAAAAGAAATTATAAATTTCTTTTTCCTGAGGACTTAACATGTCCATTCTCTTTGCAGGTGTTGGTTGTTCACTTGGAGAAGAATAAACTTCAATTTCCTTTGGCCAAGTATAGAATCCAATATATTGTTTATGCACATATCGAAGTTGCTCCCATTCTTCAGGTGAGTTGGGTACAGTTTTGCTATTATAGAGAAGCCATTGGTTGTCAGGTCTAATGCCGGGAACGACGTTTCGGTTGGTGATGCCGAAATGTTTTAAACTTAATGATTTCTTTACAAACTTTGGTTTATTTTGGACTAGAATGAAAAGGACCACTCGAAGCGCGATTTTTCTTATTCCTATCAAATCATGTAACATAGCATGAAGAAAGAAATTAACCACTTCAGGACTGTACTTTACATCAGGATGAACTAATTCCCTCATGAATCCAACAGCCATTAAATAATGACGCCAATGCCTATAAAAAACGTACACAAAATTCAGAAGTTAATAATTGTATATATATTACGTTTTGCAATTTGAAACCAAAAAATGATTACGCGTCCATTAACAAGTTCTTAAAATGAACAATTTTCATATTTTTTAAGCCATTTTACAGTAGTTACTTTTTACACATAGATACATAAAAGAATCTTACAAATTTCCATCCAAACAGGCATCTAACAGTAATTGTATAGTTTCGTTGTAGTTCTTCATTCGCTCTTTGTTATTTACTTCCAATTGCTCCCTTCCGTTAGTCATTATTTCATCGAAATCTGCTAAATCTACTTGGGGTACATTTTTAGCTATTATATGAGCAAGTTCCAGACATTTATCAGTAACCTCAATTTTGATAGCAATAGTAGGGAAATAGCGTTTCACCGAATCTGACAAATTGGTCATTAAATTCACTATAGAAGGCTTTTCGCAAGGCTTTGATTTAACCAGAAGGGGCCAAATATCTCTTATAAAGGCCCAGTCGTGTCTTGTGGCAATTGGTGTTGTCTTTGGGCCCATAAGGATATGAAGACATCCCTTAAATTTTTCATGGTTTTCTATAGTGTCCAATTGGAGCACGTATTTTATGCTGGGTGCCAATATGGTATAAGAAAATGGAAACGTGTTAATAGCGCTAAATATTCTAGTTTGAGCAGATTTTCGAACCTATAATTAGATAAAAAAATAAAAATGACTTAAGGTACAAATAAAAGACCTTTACTTCACTGTATCTGCTAATGCCCAATTCAAATAGGTCCAAAAGAATTTGTTTGTGGGTTTCTGTGAAAGTACAACTTCTACTTTCCGTCCTAAATTCTTGGTGTAATTTGACTCTGTCGATCAAAATATAACGTAAATGAGCCTTCTTTTGGTGCAACCTGTCTTCTAAAAATTTTTTAGCGCTGTGGAATGTTTTCCAATGCATCTCGAAATCCCTTCCAGTAAATTTATTGAATACAAGTATATTATAAATCTAAAATAAAGTCACACAAATAACAATTTGAAAAAAGAAGGCATGTTATTAATTTACTCGAATGATAAACTGCAAGCTTTTGGTGTTGCCTTCATCAACTTCCAAAATTTTCTTTTGAACGGCATGTATAGCGTCAGCGATTGTTTTACGAACGTTTCTACCATCGGGCATTTTTACTGCATGGTCTGTACCAACGGTAAGTTCAAAGGCCCATGGGGGAATTACAGATTCAATCCTAAATTACATTAAAAATAAATATTATAACGATCAATGAATTAGTTACAAGTACAAACTTACAAGTTCAAAGCAGGTTCTTCCCACAGTGGTAGAACATTCTGACAGCCTAATATGGAGTAAACTATTCTTAAGCTTTGTATAAGGTCATTTTTTTCTATATTTTGGCTGCCCTCTACAAACCTGTTTAATTTTTCTAATTCAGGTACTAAATATTTGTGTAGGAGCATTTCAATACACTTTATTTCTTTTTCTCCAGGCACATACCATGATATGTTGAGATTGTATAAATCTCCGGGTTTTCCCCACTCTCTAGATGATACAAAAGTCGTTTATTCATTTACTATAACATTATTTTAGCCTTATTTCCTACCTAACTATTAAAAAGTCTTTAATAGGGGTATCGTAGCTTTTTGTTAAACTTCTATATTCGGTAGGTTGAACTGTAGTGAGGGACATCATCAACATGTTTAACAAATGGGCGGAGAGTTTATTACCATGTACAGATTTCATATGCAATGTTTTTTCTAAGATGTCATTCAATCGATCGATGTATTGTAGTAAATGACTGTTCCCGTCCACAATCTAGAAATTCGCAAAAAATATTTTAAACTTGATATGAGATGAAATAATGCAACAGATACTTACTTCTGATAGAAGCAAAAGGTTGTATGCAAGTTCATCATTAAGGTGTTCTTCATTTAAAGCATTTTCGTTTTCATTAAGAAGAATTTTAATAGTGTCACATAAATCGGGTACGAAAAGTTTTAAAGTTTCCTTAGGATTAACTTTAGTGAAACAAGAACATAGCATGGCAATAAGTTTTCCTGAAACTTTCGATTCCATAATTCTGTTTGTGGCGAAGTTATGCACTTTTCGTAATACTGTCTACAATTAATTATAAAATATAAAATCATTTTGCTTTAAATTCTTTTATAGGCATTTTTTACCATAAAAATTGACGGTGAACACTGGAACAATACCGATGTGGTCAAATTTAAAAGAGCAAACTCGGAAAGAGATTCCAATTTACTTTTCTGATCCAATTCGTGTTGTTCCATTCTTACAAACTCGAGGGAGTTCGATTCGACCCAAATGAATATCTTGTCAAACAATTGTACCATAAAATCCTCAAATCCGGCAGACGCTTCGCATATTATGTGTTCTTCTTCAGTCAAATCGTCGTAATAATTACTCGCTTCGGAGCAATCAACAAATGGGGCCAAGTTTGCCAAGTGAGATATCAAATCGAAAGCCACGAATAATTTGTTAATATCATTCGGATCTATTCCAGGTAAAAGTGCAAATAATAGAGGTATGACGTGAGTAGGACCTTCCGGATAATTATTTTTCGTGCCAGATACCATAAATCTTAATGGAAAAGAAATACCTTAATTATAGATTCTTCAAAATATTTCATCGAAATATGCCAACAATTTTTTACTATTATTTCGTTTAAAAGGAAACTACAAAGTAGTAAACGATACATATATAAACAAGAATTTACCTTGAAACCCCCATTGCGCTTACTATGGATGACGTTAGCTTATGGGGTTCTGTTAAGCTATCCATAGATGCGTACAATTTTTCTAAAACCATTGGGACTATAATGTTGGGTCTCAAAGCAGCTAAGAATTGTAAAGCTTGAGTCACATCATGAGAACCTTGTCTTGAAAACATCGCCTGTTCTATACAGGGTTTCATTATGTTAACAAACTTGTCTATGTCAGTATCCGACAGTCTAAACTCCTCAGGAGCAAGTAACTGCCAGCTGGGTTTTTTGTATCTTTCAGTATGAACTCGTTCCACAAAATAGTAATTTAATTTCTTTAACATTTCTCTAATTTTCGGGGTCCACCTGCATTTTTTAAAAGAAAATCGATTAATTTAAAAATGAAACGTTCACAATTTAAACGATTAAAGTAATATCTGATGTAATCTGTAGAAATTGCAACGAGACCTCCCCTTTCTAGAGCAAAAATTTAAGAAGAGAGTAAAATGTCGTTGCATATTAAAACGACACAGTAAAATGCACTTTTAACTATTTTTTTTTTTTTTTTGAAATTAGATTAAATTGAAAAGATAAAATTATAGAAGTTTGACTTACTTTCCAGTATTTGCTGGATGATAATAAGACTCAAGAATTTGCATAAATTTCTCTAAATGAAAGAACGCCGTATCACTGCTGCCGCCCAATGTGGCAACGATCCAGATTGCAATTGCGGAAATATCAATTTTGAACTGTTTTCCTGTTTGCTTTTGTCTGTAGGCAATGGGAAGTTGTAGGGTACGTAAAAATCTAACATACATTATAGGAATATATTTTTCCCAATTTATGTAACCAGTGTTAAAGTTGGATATTCTAGCCATTAACCACATCAAGTGCTGCAAAAAAAATAGTAAAATAAATGTTCAAAATCACGTACTAGACACGCACCATTAGGGTTCCATATAGTAGTCACTATATTTTAAGATTTTAATATTTAATATTTCAGAAATGGGGCTTTAAAATAAACAATAGTAAATGAAGAATCTAATATTTATTTTTGAAGAGCTATCTAACAATGTCCGATGTAAAAATTATCACTTAATAACAAATTGAAAGGAACCTGCGTGAATAAAACGCTCGTCATAAGAATGGATATATTTTTGCAAAATTTTTGCGCGAAAAAGTTCCAGTTCTTACAGATGTGGTCGTGACTAGCATTAAATGAAAGACACAAAACATTTCAAATGAATTTTAACCACATGCGGCACTAGTAGGCATTTAGTTTATGTAAAAAACTTACATTTTCCCATACACTAGCATTGTGACATACTTCCCAAAGGTTCATTAATTCTTCCAACCATAAATTATACCCAATGTTGGCCTGCTCAGGCTTCATAATTACTGGCAAAAACAATTCTAAATATTCTATAGCACAAGCAATGTCGGCGGTGCTGTGGGGGCATAATAGTGGCCTAAATTCATCTAATATTTCCTGTGTTGCTTCAACTGGAAAATAACTAAAACATGAAAATCATTAATTGGTTAAAAAGAAAACAACCTAACACCTACATTCTGCAAAATCTTATCAAATTTTTCAGAGTATTCTCTAATGTCAAAAAATATCTGTACATTCCCAAGTCTGTTTTGCTTGTTTCCATTATCCTAATACATAAATCATAAAGTGGTTTCCATTCTAATTCTAGTTCTTCTGGACTTATTAAATGTCTTTTTCTATAACAGATAAGTTTTAATAAAAATAAAACAATGTAAATTTAACATAACTTTATTTTGCTTACTTTAAAAGGAATTGTAAAGTTGAAGCAAATTTGTTAATTCTGGTGGGTTCTAAATTTGGAATGGTAAGAAGTGCATAATATAATTGAATAAGGCCAATGTGGTCTTCCTTTGAAAATTTAAGTCCATAAATTTTCATATATCTGTAAAAGAAAAATTTTAAATTTAAAAACTACGGCCAAAATTTAAAAACTCTTGTCATTTAGTATGTTGGGTTGCATAAAATAAAAGTTTACAAGTTGACATTTGGTATTTTGACAACTCTGTCAAAATTGCAAAGATCATTTAAAGCAATTTTAAATTAGTTAAGATTAAGTTAAAAAAGGCATATTTTAGATTAATGAACCTTAATTTTACCCATATTTATACTTTAAGAAACCTTACTTAATAAGTCTGGATGTCCATAAAGCACAGCCTGGTCTCGTTTCTTTTGCTAAAACCGACTTGACAAGGTTAGTTTTGATGTCTAGAAATAATCTTGCAGATTCTTCATCTAGTTTATCGGCGTAAGGAAGTAATTTATTATAAACATTTTCTTTTTGAGGCAGAAATCCTGAAATATCAGTATATTTCATTGTATTTTCTTCCTTCATGGTGATGAGCAGAGCACTTTCTTTATTAAACTAAATTTGTATTTCACTGTCAACTTTCTTCAACCGTTCATGTGAGCGCATTAATTAGTTATTGAACAACTTGCTATTTTTGTCAATTTTAGACTAGTCATTTGCAGACATACTTCTTTTCACCATTCAAGTATTGTTAATTTACCAATCATGCCTCTTACAATGAAATGCTACATCATGCTAACCAATCATATAACAGAATAAGAAGCGCCATTTTTAAATTAAATTACCATTAACTTTAATTGCAATACTACTACTATTTTACAGATGTCCAAGTCACTCATGTTCCTGTCTCACTTAAGAATTCTAAGGACTAAAACAAATGTGCACACAAATGGCATTTACTTTATAGCAAATTATTCAAAAGGTATAAATGTACTAAATTATATTTATCTTGTCTCTTACATTTCTTTTATTAGATATCACACCAAACTCAACAAAAGACGATTATTTACTATCTGACTTAAAAAACGTTCATTCAGCATCCAATGTATTTAATATTGTATCAAAACATATAACCATTATGAATCAGAAACATATATTACAAGCATTTAAGACATTATTTGTGCTGCAAAAAAGTGGCAAGTATGTTTGAATAACTCTTTAAAAGTTTTATTTTAATTAAAAATATATACATTATTTTACTTCATTTTTAGAGCAAAATTAAGTAAGAAAGAAATATTGCAGAATAATGAGTTTGATAATTTATGCAGATATTTAAAAAAGCATATCAGAAAAATTGATGTGAATGACGCTCTTGAAGCGCTCAAAACTCTTTCGTTCTTGGGTGTCCCCGGAGACAGTACAATTGTTCAAACAATTTTACAAATGTTAAGACATTACATTAATGATCTTTCTGTGAACCAAATCATATTTTTGGAATATGTTTTAACAAAGATGCAATCAACGCCATTAAGGGACGCACTTTGTATTGCACTGCCAATAGTTTTTGAGGCGCAAATGTTATTTAGATTAGATAAGGATAACATTAAAGAAATAATTAGTTGCCTTTACTACATTTCAAAAAAGAATGTTAGTGACAAATGTAAAATTCAAATAATTACTTCTCTTATAAAATGTCTTGAAAGTAATTATGAATTAAGCGGAGAACAAGCTAAGAGCATCTTGTGGTCAATATGTTTTATGAAAGAAGACGAAATTTTTGAACCAGTCATTAAAGCTACAGTACCATTTTTGATACGAAATTTGCAATGTTTATCGTACAATGAAATTGAAACAACATTGCAACTTCTACTGCAAAAATATTCACCCACATTTCCCTTTTATTATTCTGCGAAATTGTTTGACCAAGTAGGCGAGTATTTAATTGATAAGGATTTAGGATTTCAAAATGGTATTTACTGTCTTCATAAATATCTTAAAATGGTAATCATGGCTTAATTTTTGCACAATGTATAAGTATGTAATTTTTTCCTGTTTGCAGGGACATTGCTATGATCCTTTAATGAATTATGTTAGCTCAAAATGTGAAAACAATCCGGACTTAATACTAAACGGAAACCCCAAAGCAGTTTTCATACTTTGTACAGCCATTGCTTCTACAGATTATAGACCTCCGCAGTGGGAAACATTAAAGAAACAAATTTACAGAACAGAATGTTTTGAAAATTGCCTCCAAACTGACGTTCATCTCCTTAAACTGTGCTCCACGCTTTGCATTCTAAATATATTCAAAGAAGACGTTTTTGAGCAATGTTTGAAGGAGGATTACATTCAGTCCATCATAAAGAGAAGTAAAACTTGAATCTTATGAGCTATTACTATATATTTATATTATTTTTTATTAGGCAACGTGTCAGATATTAAACATTTCTTGACAATACTGCAAACAATTTTAATATTTAAACCGGAGTATGCGCATCTTTTGCCACCGAAACATTTTATCGAAGAGTTTGTAAATAAATACGAGCCAGTTTCCGATTTCCCATTGGAAGCTCCACTTCAAAAAGCTCTCGGAGGAGGAACTTACGTCGCCAGCAATATGAAAACGAAACTGGGACACCATATAGGTATTATGATATTTTTTGAGCTTTCATGGTCTGTGTCAAGTATCAAGGAACAATGTTCCGCATTTGAAGGCTGTGGTTATAGAATTCTCCTCTTTAAGTAGTTCCTCGGGGCTTATTAATTGGTGAAATAGTACTGAAAATATCTCAGTTCGATCGCGTACTAGTAATAAACTCTGAGGATACTTGTCCCAGCTGGTCGAAAAAGTTGAATAGAAAACTTCAATCGATGTATCAGCAAAGTAGTACAATTTTATTTGTATTATTGACAAGCTAACGCAAACTAATGTTTAATATTTATGAATAAGATGAATTGCAAAAGTTGCTTATTTTTCTAGATCACGTAATTATTTTGAGGAAGGGTGGATATCCCGTGGCTTTTACCAAACAAGAAACATTTTTGGAAAATCTTGAGGTGTTACCAGAAAATCAAATGTAAATAATAAAAGATATGTCTGATTATTCTAGTCATGACATTTGCCTTTGTTACAGAGTTTTAATTTCAACTTTGAGGCCTTGGCATTATTCAATCAATTGTAGGAGGATAAACGGAATTACGTCTCATATGATTAAAACATTACAGGCCAAAGGTTACACTGTAATCCCTGTTTGTTTGGAAGAGTGGGAGTCGCTGGCTGATTTTGAAAAAATTCCTTATTTAATGCAAGCCATTAAAATAAAAGTAGAAGAATTTAATAAATGTTTAAATGTACTTTATTGAAAGTATTAAATCATAAATAGATTTTTATGAATTGAAAATGTGACTGCCTTTAATCAAAGTCGTGTGTAACATGCCCTAGAATCCTGTTTAAGTCTTTAAAGCACGGTTTACCCAAATAAAAACAGTTTATAAATATGTTAGACGTTTTTGTTTCTTTAAATTTTCCCGCAAAATTTAAATAAATTCCAAACGTACTTACTAGATGTCGACAAAAAGTATCGACTGTCAAAAGTCAAAAGAAGAAATAGAATTTCTTTTCCCGACGTTGATAGTGTTTGTGCAAGTGTTATCAACAACGAAAAATATAATTCTGAAATTTTCAGAATGGGTTTTCAAAATATTTGGTACTCTCACCCTCGTAAATATGGTCAAGGATCCAGGTCGTGGTAGGTTTCTTTTTTAATCTACTGATCAGTCCCATTTTGCTCCACTGCAATAAGAGGTTAAAAACACGTGTTATTAGAAAAAAATACTGATTTAAAAGCATATGTTAATTATTTTTACGTAAATTTTTTTAACTAAATTGTTAGTATTTACTTTATAGCAAATTATTCAAAAGGTATAAATGTACTAAATTATATTTATCTTGTCTCTTACATTTCTTTTATTAGATATCACACCAAACTCAACAAAAGACGATTATTTACTATCTGACTTAAAAAACGTTCATTCAGCATCCAATGTATTTAATATTGTATCAAAACATATAACCATTATGAATCAGAAACATATATTACAAGCATTTAAGACATTATTTGTGCTGCAAAAAAGTGGCAAGTATGTTTGAATAACTCTTTAAAAGTTTTATTTTAATTAAAAATATATACATTATTTTACTTCATTTTTAGAGCAAAATTAAGTAAGAAAGAAATATTGCAGAATAATGAGTTTGATAATTTATGCAGATATTTAAAAAAGCATATCAGAAAAATTGATGTGAATGACGCTCTTGAAGCGCTCAAAACTCTTTCGTTCTTGGGTGTCCCCGGAGACAGTACAATTGTTCAAACAATTTTACAAATGTTAAGACATTACATTAATGATCTTTCTGTGAACCAAATCATATTTTTGGAATATGTTTTAACAAAGATGCAATCAACGCCATTAAGGGACGCACTTTGTATTGCACTGCCAATAGTTTTTGAGGCGCAAATGTTATTTAGATTAGATAAGGATAACATTAAAGAAATAATTAGTTGCCTTTACTACATTTCAAAAAAGAATGTTAGTGACAAATGTAAAATTCAAATAATTACTTCTCTTATAAAATGTCTTGAAAGTAATTATGAATTAAGCGGAGAACAAGCTAAGAGCATCTTGTGGTCAATATGTTTTATGAAAGAAGACGAAATTTTTGAACCAGTCATTAAAGCTACAGTACCATTTTTGATACGAAATTTGCAATGTTTATCGTACAATGAAATTGAAACAACATTGCAACTTCTACTGCAAAAATATTCACCCACATTTCCCTTTTATTATTCTGCGAAATTGTTTGACCAAGTAGGCGAGTATTTAATTGATAAGGATTTAGGATTTCAAAATGGTATTTACTGTCTTCATAAATATCTTAAAATGGTAATCATGGCTTAATTTTTGCACAATGTATAAGTATGTAATTTTTTCCTGTTTGCAGGGACATTGCTATGATCCTTTAATGAATTATGTTAGCTCAAAATGTGAAAACAATCCGGACTTAATACTAAACGGAAACCCCAAAGCAGTTTTCATACTTTGTACAGCCATTGCTTCTACAGATTATAGACCTCCGCAGTGGGAAACATTAAAGAAACAAATTTACAGAACAGAATGTTTTGAAAATTGCCTCCAAACTGACGTTCATCTCCTTAAACTGTGCTCCACGCTTTGCATTCTAAATATATTCAAAGAAGACGTTTTTGAGCAATGTTTGAAGGAGGATTACATTCAGTCCATCATAAAGAGAAGTAAAACTTGAATCTTATGAGCTATTACTATATATTTATATTATTTTTTATTAGGCAACGTGTCAGATATTAAACATTTCTTGACAATACTGCAAACAATTTTAATATTTAAACCGGAGTATGCGCATCTTTTGCCACCGAAACATTTTATCGAAGAGTTTGTAAATAAATACGAGCCAGTTTCCGATTTCCCATTGGAAGCTCCACTTCAAAAAGCTCTCGGAGGAGGAACTTACGTCGCCAGCAATATGAAAACGAAACTGGGACACCATATAGGTATTATGATATTTTTTGAGCTTTCATGGTCTGTGTCAAGTATCAAGGAACAATGTTCCGCATTTGAAGGCTGTGGTTATAGAATTCTCCTCTTTAAGTAGTTCCTCGGGGCTTATTAATTGGTGAAATAGTACTGAAAATATCTCAGTTCGATCGCGTACTAGTAATAAACTCTGAGGATACTTGTCCCAGCTGGTCGAAAAAGTTGAATAGAAAACTTCAATCGATGTATCAGCAAAGTAGTACAATTTTATTTGTATTATTGACAAGCTAACGCAAACTAATGTTTAATATTTATGAATAAGATGAATTGCAAAAGTTGCTTATTTTTCTAGATCACGTAATTATTTTGAGGAAGGGTGGATATCCCGTGGCTTTTACCAAACAAGAAACATTTTTGGAAAATCTTGAGGTGTTACCAGAAAATCAAATGTAAATAATAAAAGATATGTCTGATTATTCTAGTCATGACATTTGCCTTTGTTACAGAGTTTTAATTTCAACTTTGAGGCCTTGGCATTATTCAATCAATTGTAGGAGGATAAACGGAATTACGTCTCATATGATTAAAACATTACAGGCCAAAGGTTACACTGTAATCCCTGTTTGTTTGGAAGAGTGGGAGTCGCTGGCTGATTTTGAAAAAATTCCTTATTTAATGCAAGCCATTAAAATAAAAGTAGAAGAATTTAATAAATGTTTAAATGTACTTTATTGAAAGTATTAAATCATAAATAGATTTTTATGAATTGAAAATGTGACTGCCTTTAATCAAAGTCGTGTGTAAGAATTAAAAAAGATATTTAACTGAAAAAAGAAGGAATAAAAACAGTTTATAAATATGTTAGACGTTTTTGTTTCTTTAAATTTTCCCGCAAAATTTAAATAAATTCCAAACGTACTTACTAGATGTCGACAAAAAGTATCGACTGTCAAAAGTCAAAAGAAGAAATAGAATTTCTTTTCCCGACGTTGATAGTGTTTGTGCAAGTGTTATCAACAACGAAAAATATAATTCTGAAATTTTCAGAATGGGTTTTCAAAATATTTGGTACTCTCACCCTCGTAAATATGGTCAAGGATCCAGGTCGTGGTAGGTTTCTTTTTTAATCTACTGATCAGTCCCATTTTGCTCCACTGCAATAAGAGGTTAAAAACACGTGTTATTAGAAAAATACTGATTTAAAAGCATATGTTAATTATTTTTACGTAAATTTTTTTAACTAAATTGTTAGTGATACCAAAATATATTTAACTGACATTTAGAAGTGATGTTTTTGAAAATTTCAAAATAACACTTTTTGGGGGTTATAATTTACCTAATTTCGGTTTTTAGTTATAAGTTAGTCTTTTCAATGAGTAAGTATGTGTGAAAATAAGAGTAATTATGAAGGGTCTTTATTTTAATGATATATACATACATGCCATGCTATTTTAATATATTACTTAAGGTAATTTCCTTTTGTTTTAGCCGATCATGTTCAAATAGGCATGGATTAATTCGCAAATATGGATTAAACATTTGCCGTCAATGTTTTAGAGAATATGCAGCAGATATAGGTTTTAAGAAGGTAAGACAATAAAAAAACAGGAAGTGTGGCTTTTACTTATATCACTTTTTTTCAGCTGGACTAAGTCTGTTTTAAATTAACATCAAATGACTTCTAATAATTGTAAAATAACGTGTAAGAACTTTGTGTTTTTTTAAATAAAAACTGCTGTATCTAATACCTACAGGTTTTATTTCATATAATAATTCAGTCAAAAATGTACATCTTCGCTTACCTATTAGAAACTATATACACAGGTCACTCAGGATATCCTCTCAATTAGTTTCTTAGCTATTTCTTGACTTCCAATTCTCTAAAATATTATTTCCACAGAAATTATAATAAATATACATGTAAGGGGACTTTACCTGTGTAATTCCTGCAACCAGAGTTAATATAGACCGTTTGGGCGGTCTACAAAATTTTTTACCATCTTCTTGGCAACATAAATTTGGGAAGCAATCAAGTGATGATTGACATGGCTTTGAAAATATATCCAGCACTAAGGGGGGAGGCGGTGTGCATTGCATATACGAAAAAAACAGTTTTACAGCTAAAATATAGTTGCATTAGATTACAAGAATGTATATATTAATTGATATAATATTATATATAAAAGAAATTATGAGTGCTGTCAGCACAGGTCAAAGTAGTATTACGTAGTTGGTATCAGCAATTTCTTATGCTGAAGTGTACGATGTGTTGCTTACCNAATTTTGAACTTACGAGAATGAATTAGTTCTGGTGAAGGTGGTGGCACCCCTTTTAAACATTTTGAATTACAGCATAAATATGTCGGATCAAATATATTACAATTTTTGTTAACTTTGCAAGGTAAAGGAAACCATGGTTTCCGTATATCGTTGCTGGGACATACTAAGACTTTTCCTTTGTAATTAATGCTGGAAATATCATCGGAGGATGTTGTTGAAGAGTTTGCTCGTGAAATGGCGTTATTAGCTACAGACCGCAACAGATATCCTAGAAAAGAAGAATTAGGTACATGACTGAAGTGTTACTTCATTTACTTACAACACAAAACTGAATTAAAAAAGATATTTAACTGAAAAAAGAAGGCTGGGACTTAGGACCTAAGGGGGGCTGCAGGGCGTCATTATCCTTTTGAAATTTGAATTCCGCAATGCGAAAGGGTCGAAAGGATTGTCAATTGGACATAAGAAACTGCACTACTTTCAATTTTTAATTTTCCAGAGATTTAATTAAAAAATGATTACCTACCCTAACAATTTATGTGAAAAACAACATTATAACAAGATGTATAAGTAAGTTTTTTACGAGAAAATAATTCTTTGAGACACTCTTCCTGTATTAATTACTACTGTAATAGATGTATTGGGAAATAAATTAAATTAAATTAAAACTAGTTAATTAAATCATCCTATATATATATGTAAACTTGCCATCAACATTCAAGTAATTCTCTGAATAACACTAGCGTGTTCGTTTACTAAATTTAAATCGGCAACATAGAATATTCGTATGAAAAGGTCTTCACAATCATCATCATAAGGTCGTCAATCCTAAGACTGGTTGGACACGTACCTTCACTCTTTCCTATCCTGAGCTAAACTAAAACTAGAACAACCCATTTCCGTAACTATTTGCGAACAGTAATCTAACCTAGGTCTACCTCTACCCCTCCTAACTCCCGTTTCTGCCTCTAATATGTCTCTGACTAGACCTTCATGCCTGAGAAGGTGTCGTACCAACCTATCTCGCCTATTTCTTATTGACTTCCATAGAGTCCTCTGTTCTCCTATTCTTTGTTGCTAAAGCTAAATAAGAATGTTTTTTTTTTATATTTCCCTTCTCTGAGGTTTCGAAAGCCTATTTTTCATAAAAGCAGAATGTTGAAGATTTCATTTGACGTTAAAATCAGCTTTTAATAAGTAAACTGTCGCATTTTATCCCAAATGAAAACCTTTTTATTTATCTAGTACTAGCGACCCGCCCCAGCTTCGCACGGGTGCAATGCAGATACTAAATATATATATTTTTTGTTTAAATTATTTTCGAGGACGGGAAATCTTCAAAAGACACCCCCTGAACATACTAAATATACTACAGAATGTCTTTATATACAACATTCACAGCTTTTTTGTCATTGGACAATACAAACCGGCCGGTACCGTCGCAACCGCTATGTCCCTGCATTTTAAATCTGTAATATCTTCGAAAATATTCATTTAAATTACATGCTGTAAAGGGTCATATTGACGTATATTAAATGCACAATGTATTTAAGGTACTTAATTGGATAAGAATTAATGCTGTATTACTTAAAATCGCTCTGTAAATAAGCCATTATTTCTCGTAAAAAGTAAAGGATAAAAAATGGTTATTGTGGTTTATCCCTTAGAGATAGATATAATATCGGGGACTTTTAGTAGACCTTTTTAAGATGTACAATACTGTAGTACATAATTTTGATCTATTTCGTAGGGTTCAGTCAGCGTTTGCAATGTAAGCGCAAAAAATGTGTTTATTTACGACATCACATTAGAAACCTCTAAAATTATCAGTGTTTCCC